GAATCCCACAATTTCAACATTTCAAACATTTCAATATAAATAAGCACAGAAACCATCTATCAATTCCTCAGTGTTCTCGTGAAGTAGACGATGTCTATAGGCTGACTTGGTCCCCATTTCTTCGGATAGGGCGACTTTGGTTTCCAAGTAGTCTAGTCTTCTTTCATAAGGTTTATACGCTCCCTCTTGTGAAGGAGATGATGTCTATAGGTTGACTTTGTCGTTCAATAAAGGTCGACATTTGATCGCCAAGTAGTCTAGTCTTTCTTCATAAGTGGTAATATTTTTTTATATTAAAAGCGGGTGGGGTGATAGCGGGAAATGTATGGTATACTGAAAAATTATTTATTGATCGGGTAATTATTTATGATTAATTTTCGCTTAACTTGTGCTTTCATTGTAGTTTTGGTATTAACTTTTTTTTTAAAAAAAAAAAAAATGAAATTAAAAAATAATTCTATCACGTTGGACACGGACCAAAATTTGTTTAATGGTTTTTTTTTTACGAATGGTTCAAGTAATTCTCTAGAACTCTAATATGTTAATTTATAAAGACTCTTAAGTGGGTTATTTCTTTAGCAGTTGTTCTATTTTCATGATTCATTTTTATAATAATTTATCAAAATTTGTTAATTAATATTTTAATCTTTGGTGTTGAATTTACGAATTTAAATACCCTATTGACAGAACAAATCAGATACCTATTATTGGAGATAAAACGAAAATTTTTTATTCTCAGAATATTCCTTGTCTAAAGAAGTAAAACTTGTAACAAGCAAAAAAAAAAAAAAACCATATATATATGTATTTTTTTTTTTTATTAAATTGAAATGAAAATGTTGATTTCCTTTTTTAATACATTCCGAATCAAACAGAATCACTTTTTTATTATTTATCCACAAAGAGAAATTCTAAAAAAAAAAAAAAAAAATTCATCGCGTAAATCGTAATCACATACATTGCACGTGATTTTGCAACGAAATTTAACTTTGAACACTTCATAATTTCTATATCGAAAACACATAATGTTCATGTACATATTCTCCGATAAATATACGTAGATCCGACCAATACAATACCATAACGTCACAATAACAGCATACGAATTTTTAATCCTGCTAAGGATGATGTCATCGATCCCTTCTCTACTTAAATAAAAAATATTAAACTTCCATCTGTTACAACCCATTTATTTGTAATTTCCACGGTCCAGGATTATACTCTCCAATAATAATTTTTTGTTTTACCAAGAATAACGTTTGGTTACATTGTGAGGCAATCATTTTTCGACCTATGCTATTTCTACATCCTCTTACCAATAAGGTGAAATTCCATCAATCCAACGTGACATACGTTTAATTTGCGTATTATAAATTGAAGAATTTCTTTTCAAAGACGTAGGATCCCTTCTCAACTACGGGTTTTTCGTTAGAGGGTAGGGCAAGATTTCTCATTAAATAAAACTTTTCTAACTGATC